GGATAATACTCCAGGGTAGAACAGAGCAAAAGCTGGATGGGCATTTGATCTGCAGAACACAACTACTTTGACCTAATCCTGGATATGGATGAGGTATCAAGCTTGCCAACAACACAACATCCCTTATTTTTATCTAGAAAAACCAGTAAGCAAAGCATATGTAGTTCAACCAACATTGGAAGGTATCAGCCCATAATTCTTTAATTGTCATGTATACAGGTAATTCAACATCTACACTATTCAAGTATCTTACCGAATCTTTACCGAGGAATTTAAACTGAGAGGCAAATATTTTTCATAGTGACAGCCTCAGTTTCAACCTTCAGCATACTGCAAAGGATCGAAGTAATTAACATCATAACTGACGAAAGTTGGTTCATCGAACATAACTCTGAAAATTTAAAACAAATAAAAGCGTTGTTGCGGCAAAGAAATGATGTCATGAACACAGACAAGTTTTGACTGCGGAAATTTCTCCTTAGTGCTAACTATAACTTTCTGGAGCAACTAATAGTAGTTTTTATAAAAGATAAACCCCAGCCTCCTCCAAAGCACTCGAGCTAGTTATTGGTTATACACCAGGCAAATAATTTGTGTCCTGATATCTTCCCAATCCGTACTTGGATTCTTAATTGGGTTTTGAACAATCACATATAAAGAATAATGATTCAACTTTCCCAGCAAGATCCCAGAATCTACAAAATACGATCCCCTGACAATTTGCATACTGGAATAACCAGGACCCCTTATCCCAGAATCTACAAAATACGAATCCCCTGACAATTTGCATACTGGAATAACATATTATAAGAATATATTACCTACCCCCAGAGCACAACCCCTAAGATTATGCACGGTAAAATCAAGGAAGAAATATGTGGAAGTAGAACACAATTGGTGCACCTACTAAACATCTTTTACTTCTATTATATGTACCTAACTAAACCACTGATTACTCCACCACTGGCTGCCCCTCCTAGCCTTTAAAACCAACATCTTCCACATTGTGTCAGAGAGGAGCAGAAAACATAGAAAAAACAATTACATATGCATAGAGTAGAGGCACACATACATTACGCATATCCTTTGGAAGCTCGAGTTTGGGCTCTCAGGAGTATTCTTCCTTCATCCTGAGTTCCCAACCCACCATGCTGCAGAAAACAAAATATGCCATATTAGTTCCTCGGGTAATGGAACTGGAGTACATCAGTTAATGCATCGATTGAGTGGAACCTTTGGGTGAGAGGTAGACCATGTTACTGAAGACGTTCTCGCAGTGGGCGCCCTTTCCCAACCTCGTCATCTGCAGCGTCAGGTGGTACTTGTTCCTCGGGTACACGTGCATCCTCAACAACTTCATCCTACCCTGCGAACGAGGAGACATAGATATTGTATTTGGTTCATGCAATTTTTCTCCATTTTTCCGTATTCAATCCAATGGCAATGAGAACCTAGCAACCCGTGCAAGTGTACCATATGTCCATATGTGCAAGCTCCACCTCGTTGGGAAAAGTGAAAGAACATGTTTGTTCAAACGTACTTCATCTCCTATCGTCAACCTGTTCACAAAGACAGTAGCAGCGTTCCTCATGCTAGGAGAGATGCAGTATCCAGCATTCCAGCCTCATCTTCTTTGAAGGCAACTATAGTACAGATACTCAAATAATTGGAATTTCGCGCAACACAACTATTGGAAAGAATCCAAGATCCGCCTTCAAAAGAAGCAAACACAACTACTGGAATTCGTGCTAAAAAAATATCTACTGTTGTACGAACAATTGACTTCAATAACCAACAAACGTATATACTCAAATAGAAGTCCTGGATTCAGAAATTCCTTGCACGTTCATCAGATCGATGTCGCTCCCAACTCGGACTTAGATCCACGCAGGTGTACTTTCTCAGCAGGACTTGGGAACTCGGGATCAGATTAGATCAGTTTCGTCTACTGCATCCAGCAGCGCGAGATCCATGTCGATTTGGGGAGGGAGAGGAGCAGCGTGTGGGAGGAGGGAAGCACACCGCGCGGCTCATGGAGGAGGAGGGATTCAGGGAGAGATACGAAGATCGGGGGCTGGTTAGGGTTACCTAGGCTGCCACGTGATCCAGCGCGGCGGGAGGGGCTGGCCCTGAGGAGCGACGATCCGCCGCGTCCATCGCCCGGGGGCCTGGCCAGCGCCAGTGGCTTCCTCCATCGTCGCCGCCGTCCGGGGAGGGACGCAGGCACGGCGAGGCAGACGAGGCTGGCAGCGCGATTTGATTCGGCGGGCGGCTGCATCTGAGGGAGACGACAGTGGGGTTCTCGCTCGAGGGCTCTCTGGGCGCCTCGCTGCTCGCTCGCTCGTGCGAGCAGTGGAACTTTTTTCGCTGGTTTCCGTTTTTCTGGCATGCGGGAGAACGTGGGTTTGGTTGGTTTTTTTGGAATTGGGAGGTGGGAACAAGGACGAAAAAAACCCGTCTTCGATGAGACGAAAATTGACCGGCGGAGACTACCAACTGCTCCATTAAAAATAGAGATGGCTAGGAAAGTTGTTCGAGTGGAATGAGGGACGTACTTCTCAGTCAGCGCTGCTTATCATTTCTTTGTTTTATTTTAATTTTGAGCCTTTTGCCATTCCAGGACTTTTCTTGGAAACACTGTATCGATGCATATGCTTACAGTATGCACACACTTATTTCTATGAACACAACATACACAAGCTATCCACAAGCTTGTAAAATTCGCCACTGCAACCTTGTAGTTGACGCAATGTAAAAAATCAAAAAATATGCGAGCATCCGTGTCAAGTTTAGAACTTGAATTAGTGTGAGCTAATGACGCCACAAGAAACCTAACCATATAAACTAAGGTTGGTTCACCTACGAGGACTTCCGTACACACCCAGCAATGAGACATGCATACAAAAGGATTTTTTTTCAAGAAACTTTCAATTTATTCATTTTTAATCATGGCAATACAAAGAACAACGGAGGTAATAAAAATCACAATCATGTTCGTGCACCACCTAACGATGACTACAAGCACTGGAGCGAGCCGAAGGCGCGCCGCCGTTATCGCCCCTCCCTCATCGGAGCCGGGCAAACCTTGTTGTAGTAGACAGTCGGGAAGTCGTCGTGCTAAGGCCTTATAGAACTAGCGCACTAGTGTAGCAACCATCACCGATGAAAAAAATCGTAGATCAGAAGGATCAAACTTGCAAATACCTAAACAAAAACGAACGAAGACTAGATCCAAATAGATCCACCGAAGACCAGCACCGACCGAATCCCACAAAGAACCGACGGATACAAACCTTCAGACGCCCTCCGGTGATGCTAGATGCACCATCGGAGATAGAACGTGGGAGACATTATTCCTACTAAAGAAGGTTGTCACCGCCACACAACCCCAACCAAGATGCTGAATCCAAAAAGAACGAGAATGGGGTCCCTCCCACCAGCGGGCGGCCGAGATCCTCTGCACCTCCATGGCCTAGAGGATTTTTTTTAGAGCTGAAAAAAAATCATAGTTATCGAATTTGATGTCAGGAACCTAGTTTGTTGTTTGATTCTTATAGGTTAATAAAGCAATAGTTTAATATTTTTATCATTTTGATTAAAAATAAGTGTTTGTAAAATTGTAACAAATTTGTCTCGGATGGTCATAATTTATAGCAAAATATAATATTAGCATTTTCATGTGAAATGCATTTTTATGGTTACTTTTTGATATATTTGTCTATGTAGGAAAGGTCAAATGATTATGCAATTTTTGTGGCCAAATAATCTTGAAAAATACTCATTCGTATCCAAATATAATATGTTTTTATTTTGCCGCCTCCTCCTTCTCCATAAAAAAGCTAGGGTTTCTGCCTCCCGTTGGCGCCGCTGCAGGTCCGCCTCCTCTCCGGTGCCCCTAAGGCCATGGGGGCGTGGTGGATCTCGGCAAGGGCCGGGGGAGGGCTTCGTTTCTAGTCGTTTCTTTCAGTTTTGCTAGGGTTTGTGCCCTGCTCAGGAAGACAAGACGGCGGCGGCCCCCTGAAGATGGAATAAAGGTCTCCCCGCCTAGCCCCCGTTCCGACGGTGCGTTTATCACTGTCGGTGGGCATGTGGAGGTGTGTCTCCGGTGGATCTATTTTTGTTGTATTTGCTCGGATCTCGTCGTTGTACGTTCGAGTGTCTTCGGGTTGGATCCTTTTGATCTACGTTATTCTTCATCTACGACGATTGTTGTTCTGGTGTGCTGGTCCTATGGGGCCTTAGCACGACGACTTTACGATTGTATACTACAACAAGTTGTGTCCGACTCGGGCGATGGAGGGGTGATGACGGCGGCTCGCTTTCGGCTCATTTCAGTGCTGGTAGTCGTCGCTAGGTGGTCTACGGATCTGGATGGAATTTCTATTATTTCTGATATTCGTTGTACTGTCATGATTGAAGATGAATAGATTGAAAATTTTCTAGCAAAAAAATATAAGGTGGTTTTTAGGCTAGTTTAGCCTTATAATAGGTAAAATATAAGATGTATTTTAGGCTAGTTTAGCCTTAATAGGCAAGGCTGGCACACTGGCATTAGGACTCGAAGTGAAATTTACACAAAGTCCGGCTAGTTTAACCCTTCTCTAGCACAGCACCGCCGTCTCCTTCCTCCCGTGCTCGCGTATCATCCAATTCCCACCGTCGAGAGCTCCAATTCACTCACGAATCCACTCCAAATCCACTCCAATCGAATCCACACCAAACCGAAGCTAACCATGCATCTCAGCCACTAGCCGGAGGGGATCGAGGAGGAGCCAAGAGCCGCCGGATCCATCCAGCTGCCCGCGCCGCGGATCCGATCTCACCGGATCGACGGCCGCACGCGGGGTGTGTGTGTGTATGTGTGTGGCGGAGCGCCGGAGGGAGGATGGGGAGCCGCGTCCTCGGAGCAGGTCGTCGCCGCCAGGGGCCCATCTCACCGGTCAGTTCTAGCTAGGGTTTCAACCAACAAATCCAAATCGGCCTTCCAATCCCGGCCGCCCATGGAGTCGCCGCCGCCGCACAAGCGCAACGTCCGCCGAGATGACGACAGGATCAGCGCGCTACCCGACGACCTCCTCCTCGGAATCCTCGAGCGCCTTGAACTGCGCGAGGCGGTCCGCGCCGGCGCAGTCTCGACGCGGTGGCGGCACCTGCCCCACCGGCTCTCGCGCCTGCACCTCAACGGCCGCCATTTCCGCTGCACCACGCTGCTCGAGTTCATGGACGCCTTCACAGGCGCGACACGGAGGTTGCTGACCGACCGCGACTGCCACTGCAACGGCAGTCATGCTATCAAGTCCATCAGCCTCCGCTTCTTCCTGTCGGCGCCCCACCTGAGCCCCATCGGCCGCGCCGTTGAGCACGTCGTCAGCCGCGGCGAGACCAAACGCCTCCATTTTGGCACATGCTCGCCATACAAGAGAAACACTGCCCTGCAGCTCGCCGAGTTTGGGCAGCAGTTCATGTCCTTCTCCCGCGACTACCCACTCGCTTTCCAGTGGCTCACCAGGCTTACACTCAAGAACCTTGCGTTTGGGCATTCCGATGTCACCGACCTCATTAATGCCTGTGACAGGCTCACGCACCTCACTCTGAGTTTTTGCCAACTGGTTGATGAGCACACACCGCTCAAGATCGACACACCGTGTTCTGGGATCAAGGATCTCGAATTCATCCAATTTGGGTGCACGCAGATCGAGCTCATCTCTGTCCCAAAGCTCAGTAAAGTGCAGTGCACATCTTGGCGCTTGGCGAACCCTCCTGTGCGCTTTGTTTATGTTCCAGAGCTTCGCGATGTGAGCCTCAGTACCAGTGCCATGGCGTGGCAGGCGCCATTCCTGCTGAGCGACTGCTTGTCAAGGAGTGCAATGAACTTGTCAAAACTGCATCTCAATTTTCGCCATCAAATGGTAAAGCTAATTTCTGTGGACCATATAATGTTCTTCTGCACATATAACATATGTTCTTCTTTACTAATAACAGCTGTTTATTTGTGTTCCTCTTCTTGGTGCAGATATGGATTCAGCCGGAACATCCGAAGCAGCTTACTGCTATATTCAGAAATCTCTCCGATTTGTCCCTTTCTGAAATCTTCCCTGAGTGCGATTTGAGCTGGACCCTATTTATCCTTGAAGCTGCACCTGCCCTGCAGAAGTTTACAGTAAGCCTTTGACTCTAACTTCTTTTTAATTTAATCCACATCTTGGCCTGGATATGACTCGATCTAGTATGAAGGGTTTCCCGATATATAGCATTAACGGATATGGGACACATGGATTGTATTGTATATGAATAATGTTGGGGATATCGCTTATCAGGAACTTATCAGTCGACCAATGATAAGGGGTAAATCGGCCAGTTTATGGGCATTTCGGTCGATTTATCACCATATCGGCTGATTTATCAGCCGATTTATCTTATCAGTCAGACACCGGTAAGCGATAAATGGGCCGATTTATCGGAATATCGGAAGATATCTTGAATGATAATGCAATGTAAACGGAAGTTCCGACGTTCCATTTGAATTTTGCATAGAAATAATGTCCATGCAATATGAAAAAATTCATGTTGGATCGTACCTCGTGTTAAGAGTTACCCGAAGCATATTCTCATATCTTACTTTCCCTATGATTAGTTCTTGCAAGGTCGTCTAAACTCTAAATGGGCCTAAACTTAGATTAGATACTAGTAGTGAGCGTGTTGCAAATTTTTCAATATCAGATATATTTAGATCCAACCATTATTACATTGTTTTGCATGGGTTGATGTCAAGTTAAATTAGTAACGTGTGTTATTTGTCTTGTATGCCCTTGATGAAGTTATCTCGAACTCGTCATGCATGTGACATAGCGTTCGAGGACAATGCCGAGAAGACCAACGTGGTGTGGGAGCCATCAAAGGATTTCAAGCACATGAACTTGAAGTCACTGACGATAGATGGGTTCGAGGAGGAGGACAAGGTGACAAACTACATAAGGCTAGTCATGGGGCGAGCTGTTGGATTGAAGAGAATCGAGTTGCGTGGTGAAGGATGCAAGAAATGTGATGCCATTGATCCGAGGACATCCCAGGTGGATGAAACTCGCAGGCATCGGATCAAGGAGCTACTCACAAATGGATCATCCTCATCCGTGGAGAGAATAATGCGCTGACCGATATGTCAAGGAATGCTATGTCTCATCATGCTTGCAGCTGCTGTATGTGGCACGGTCAGCAGTAGTAATTTAATTTCTAGGTACTGATAGCCTGAGAATACTTGAATGGTGTGGACTTTGCAGTGTGTCATGCACTTAGCCAGCTTAGTTCGGAACCTTGCCCGAGAAGTGTGTCAAGATAAGAAAGCTTAGTTCTGGAGCTCAATTACAACTGCATAGTACTACAGTATGTTCTGTGTGTTCTGTTCTATACATTAGGGTTCGTCCTGCTTTAGGCTATGTTCGATTGCAGGGGATTAGTTCCACTAGTGGGTGATCCCTGCTTGACCACCCGACCCCTGGGGGGGGGGGGGTTGAATCCCTGCCACTCCTGCTAACATCTCCTATTTGGTTAAACTGTGTGTACCATCTGTATTTGCGTTGGTAAACCCTATCAAATTTTAGCTGCATGGATCACGATTTTGTGCCAATCACCACAAATTATTCACGCACAAGAAGTTGGCAAGTACATAAGCAGTAAGACCAGCACAGGGCAGAGAAACAACAATTCAGAGAGCAACAATACTCTCAAGCACAACAGAACATACCACAAACCAATACAAGACAAGTTCATAATTTTGCCAATTAATTATACTCCTGCACCCCCCAAGCTGCACTTGTTCAGCATGTGAAGATAGAACTGGAACCTGAACAAAGGTATAGATACACATGTCAATACGATGAATCATTTAAAATAAATGTATGAAAGAAACTTCTTTTAACTTATAGTAAAGAAAAGCAATGGACAAATACTTGAGATGTTGCCAACACGGAAAACTCTTCAAAAAGAACAAATTCGTCACATATTATATAATAATTTACTTATGTTCATCACATATTATATGATAAGTTTCAGCGGATGCAAGAATTTTTTTGCAGCAATTATAAACAACGGATAGAAAGACTGGACATGACTCTTCTAGCTACAACAGTGACAGCTATTGTATTATTTTCTGCAAATTATTTCCAATTATAAACAGAGACAATGGGATGTTCCTCAAATTGTATTTTGCCTTGGAGTCCCTCTTTTGGCTTGAAAATGTGAACTCGTGTGCAAGTGGTTAACCCCTACCCAGGACCATATAGATCAATACCAGTGTCGTGAACCTGGTAAAATCTAGTACAGTAGATGTTATTTATTTAAGAGAGGGGATATCGTTTAGGCTGAAGATACAGTCTAGCAGAATAAAGTTCCAATTGTTTAATCTCCAAAAACAGTGAACTAAATGAACCATTGACCCGATGGAAAGTATTCAAAAATTTGGTTCAAGCATAGTATTGAAGATAGTGGGTTCGTCCTGCTTTAGATGTCCTTTGTCGCTTCTATGCTATCTCTTTCGTAAGTCGCTGCACATTTACCTTGTCCTAACAACAAGCTCCAGTTTGCATTTACACTCATGGGCATCTGCATCTTCATCTGCTTCTTTCCTTGTTCTTGTTTGTTTCTTTTCCAAGAGGCCGGCCTAACACTCATGCGGATCCTTAACCGGAGTGTGTGCAGGCTAGGGGACACTAACAAATACATACTTGTCCGAGACACTATTAAGGCCAGCAACCCTAAGGTGGTCTGCCAGGCTACATGAATCCAAATTGGACACAATTTCAGTTTTCAAGGCATCCCAATTCTTACCAAATAACCTGTTTTCATATTCATACACGGTAATGCCGGCCAAAGGTTTCTCAGGGGGAATTACCACTGCGTCGGATGATCCAGGGTGCTTTCTGCTTTGCACTGAAAAGAGGATTCATTCCTTCTATGTTTCAGTTCAACTGCAGTCTGCCACAGAAAATCTGAACTGTTTATGGACCTTGCAATAATCAGCAGAGGGCTGAGGACCATGGATCAAATTATTGAGGTTTAATTAATCACTGGCTGGAGATGGTTCGGATGAGGTTAAGAAAAGAGTTGCTGATGGATGGCTGAGAGGTACTGGGGCCTTCTTCTCTCCTGCATATTTGCTCAGTTATGAAATGAGGAGGACGAGGGCTCCCTCTTCTTGGAAATCACTCTCAGGAGGTTCGCCACAGAAATAACTTAGGTGATGGAAATTCCCAATTTTTCAGGCAAGGAGGAACAAGATCCGGGTTCGGATCAGTGATGGTGTGGGACATTACAACATCAAAGAGAAGCTACAAATTGCTATATGTCTGTCCTGCAACTTCAGGGGCTTTATGATATGACTCATCTTAGCAGTTTAGCTGAACCTTTCACCTGGGCTGCCATCGATTCATCTCCAAATAATAGGAGCCCAGGAGCAGATGGCTACGCAAATGATCTGCTCTGTTTATCCCAAGAATTCCTCAATAATACAATTGATCTGATCGCCATTAATACAGTCTTCATCACCACGCTCCTGCCCAAGAAAGAAGTGTCTTTTGAAATCAAGGATTTCAGGCCTATCTCTTTGTTGCATAGTGTTCCTAAGCTGGCTACTAAGATGTCGGTTCGGCTACAGAGAAAATCCTAGTCTTGTACATGCGCTGCAATCTGGCTTCCTCAAAGGATGGTCCATCGTTGCAAATTTTGCCCTGGTAGCGGAGTTATTTCAGTGTGCAAAAAAGAGGAAATTGCCGATGACGGTGCTAAAGCTGGACTTTCGTAAAGCTTTTTGACAGTGTAAGCAATGCAAGGGATAATACAAGCACCGGATCTTGCTATGTCTGGCTTTTAGAGGTCGGCTTAATACAAGGGATAACTGAAATTCCGTTGTTAGTCATGCTGGCTGTGATTGATGGATGCCTGCCGTGGAAACAATGAGCACACCATTCTGCCATTTGGAGATATATTGGTCGCTATGGCCTTAATATCACTAGCATCATTGTGTCAACATTTCTCAATAAAGAATTTAAGCCTGTCTTTGTACATCCGCTGCAATCTGGTTTCCTCAAAGGACAGTCCATTGTTGAAAATTTTGCCCTGGCATCGGAGTTAGTTCGGTATTCAAAAAAGAGAAATTGCCAATGATGGTGCTAAAGCTGGATTCTCGTAAAGCTTTTGACACAGTAAGTTCGGATGGTCTATTCAGCATTCTGTCTGCTCGAGGTTTTGATCATAAGTGGATACCATGAATAGACATGCTCTTGCGACCGTCAATGATTGGGGAGTTGGGAGAGCAATTCCATTCAAGATGTGGAGTCCATCGCGACGACCCTTCTCACCCTACCTCTTCATCCTAGTTGCGTACCTGCTTCAGCGGCCATGTTGCAAGGAGTACGGCCGAAGATCTCTTAAAAACCCGTTAAATCCGGAGAGTTTTTTTCCCTGGCTCTGTATTATAGCTGGCCAAATGGGCCGGGCCAACCAGGCCGGCCCGCGAGCACGCCCGGCATGGCACGGGCTAAACGGGCTAGGCCCGGCACGCGGCATGCCCTGGGATTTGCTTGAGTGAAATTTGCTACTGCCCTATAAAACCTTGCGCTTGGAGTCCCAACACCTCCCTCCTCCCCGATTCGACTTGTTTTGCCTTCTCTTTCGGATGATCATCTTCTGCATATTTTATCGGATGTGGGTGTTTCTCTCGAGCCTGGTTGTGGGTCTCCCTCGCTTATTCTTTCCACTATCAGGGCCAATGAGGTGGCCCAAGCGGACATTGCCAATGCCAAAGAGGTCGCGGCGTCTACGGCTATTGGGGCCGTTCCTCGGCAGGCAAGGGATGGGGTGTGGACGATGGTTGTGGCCAGTCACATCCCCTCCCAGCCAAAAGGGGTCCGTCTAAGCGATCAAAATCTTGTGTTGCCCCGTGCAGGTCTAGCCTCCGTATCAAGAATCTTTCTTTCAAATGAAAACCCTCTTCTGGAATATTAGAATTTTTGGCGCTAGGAGGCGCCGAGACCAAATTAGGGATGTTGTTGGAGGCAAAAGCATTGACATCTTAGGGCTGGTTGAAACATTCAAAGAATCCTTTTCTCCTAATGAACTTTTTGCGATTGCGGGCATGGACAAATTTGACTGGCATTTTCTTCCATCTTCTGGTCATTCTGGGGGCATTCTTATTGGCTCCAAATGGGATATATTTGATTTTCTACTTCTGATCATGGCATTTTTTGGGCAAGCATTGTGGTGCACCATCGGCGACTCAACACCCTGTGGGAATTTATGGTTGTCTATGGCCCAGCAGATCACTCTCCTACATCTATTTTCCTTGATGAACTATCTACTAAAATTGAGTCTTGCACGATACCTATTGTGATAGGAGGAGATTTTAACCTCTTGCGTACCCCTTCTGATAAAAATAGTCATAATTTCTCCTGGTCTCTTGCTAATGCATTTAATGATTTCATTAGTGCTTGTGCCATCCTCGAGCTTCCTCGGGTGGGGGCTCGTTTCACCTGGTCTAACCATCAAATTGATCTGGTCCGGTCGGTGCTGGATCGGGCCTTTATCTGTTCTAGCTGGGATTCCTTATTTCCTTGTGCCTCTCTGAAAGCTAAACCTGCGGTGGGCTCGGATCATACTCCCCTCATCTTGGATGCTGGCCTCAACCAACCTGTGATCTCTTCGCGCTTCCAATTCGATGCCTCATGGCTTCTAGTGGAGGGATTCACAAACATGCTTGCTACCAAGATTTCACACCTTCTCTCCCCTTCCCCTCGCTCCTTTGACCCCATGGACGACTGGCAAAAGTGTTCTTATGAGCTTCGTAAGTTTCTTAGGGGTTGGTCTCGTAACAGAGCTGGGGAGATCCATAGGGAGAAAAACTCTTTAGAGACCCAAATCGCGGGCCTGGACCTCACTACAGATATGATTGGCCTCTCGGATCAAGACTGGTCTGTCCGATACAACCTAGAAGCTGCTCTGATGCAGTTGCATCAACAGGCAAAAATTTATTGGCGCTAGCGTGGTACCCTTAACTGGACCCTTAAAGGTGATTCTCCAACGGCCTAGTTCTTTGCCATTGCCAGTGGTAGAAGAAAAAGATGATTTATTGATAGCCTCATCATTAATGGTGTTAGGACCTCGGATCAATCCCTCATCATTGCCCACTTGTGGATTTCTTTTCTTCTCTTTTTGGGGCTAAGCAGGACACTGGTCTCTCTATTTCCCCCTCCTTATGGGACAAAGGTAACATGATTTCGAACGTTGAGAATGAAGCCTTAATGGTCCCTTTGTCTGATGAGGAGATCTGGGAGGTCATTAACTCTGCCAACCCGAATGCAGCCTATGGCCCTGATGGGTATTCTATTCCCTTCGTTAAGAAGTTCTGGCCTTAGCTGCGTCGGATGGTGTGTCAAATCATTCAAGGTTTCTGTCTGGGGACAATGGATATCTGCCGCCTTAACTATGTTGTAATTACTCTTATCCCTAAAGTGAAAGGAGTTGAGCTAATCTCCCAGTTTAGACCTATTGCCCTTACTAACAATTTTGCTAAATTTCCTGCAAAGGGTTTTGCCACTCGTCTCACTCCTATAGCCCATAGAACTATTAGCCCTTTCCAGTCCGCCTTCATCAAAGGTCGTTTTATCCTCGATGGGATGCTCTGCCTTCATGAGATCATGCATGATCTCAAGATTCGTAAATCTAAAGCAGTGATTCTTAAGTTGGATTTTGAGAAAGCTTATGACTCGATCAGTTGGCCTTTCTTGAGAAAGGTGCTCCTGGCCAAAGGCTTCGATGGGGCCTATGTTCATAGGATCATGCAGTTGGTCTTGGGGGGGGGGGCACACTGTGGTTTCCGTTAATGGCCAGATCAGTAATTACTTTGCCAATGGTAGGGGCCTATGACAAGGTTATCCTGCCTCTCCTATCTTGTTCAACTTCCTCGCGGATGTCCTATCTCGTATTCTTTCTAGAACTGCTTCGCATGGTCATATATCTCCTATCATCTCACACCTCGTCTCGGAAGGGGTCACTCACCTTCAATATGCGGATGACACTATCGTTATGGTAGATCTAAACGACTCTTGCATTGCCCACGTCAAGTTCATTCTTCTTTGTTTCGAAGCCTTGTCGGGACTCAAAATTAACTTTTCTAAAAGTGAGGTCATAGTTACTGGTGTGGATGATACCGAGGCCTTAAGGGTGGCCCATCTCCTCAATTGTAAGCTGGGATCATTCCCTTTCAAATATCTGGGTCTTCGAATTTCCTCGGATGTGCTCTATGCGAAAGAGTTCACTCCTGCTGTGGCTAAAGTTGGCAATAGGGTACTCCCTTGGCGAGGTAGATACAATACTAGTGATGGGAAAGTGGCGCTGATCAACGCTTGCTTATCGTCCTTACCAATGTTCCTCATGGGCTTCTACTTACTCTCAGCTGGCACACACGCAGGCTTCGATAAGCATACAGGTGCTTTTTACCGGAACACGACAGATAATAGGCGCAAATACAGATTTGTCAGGTGGAAACTTATGTGCAGACCCAAAAACCTTGGGGGGGGGGGGTTGAGCATTATTAACACTGCCATCATGAATAAATGCCTCTTGATTAAATGGTGGTGGAAAATTATGACAACAGGAGTTGGATCCTAATGGTTATCCATCCTTAAAGCTAAGTATTTCCCTCTTTCTAGTCCAATGTTTGCTTCTCCGCGCGGAGGCTCACAATTTTGGAAGGATTTGGTTAAAGTTAGACCTTTGTTTCTGGCTAATGTTATGTTTGTTGTCGGGGACGGGTCCTCTATTTGTTTTTGGCTTGATTGGTGGTGTGGAGACTCACCTCTCTCTGTGAGTTTTCCTACACTCTTTTCCTACTGTCCTAATCCGAACATCTCAATCGCTGAGCTTTCGGCTAATAACTGGGACTTGGCCTTCCGGCGATCCCTTTCTCCTGTAGAGTTTGAAGAATGGCAACGGCTTACTGCTCTCTTCCCTATGCTCTCGGAGAGCATGGGCTCGGTGGTTTGGCCTCATACTTCTTCTAGTCGATTTTCGGTTAAGTCTTTATACTCTAAGCTTATTGGTGAATCTCCCACCAACAGATTTACTCAGATTTGACGGGCCCGTATTCCCCCTACAGTTAAGATCTTTCTTTGGCAAGATTTTAGAGGGTGTCTGCCCTCGGCGGACCAAATCCGTAAGCGGATTGACCCGGGATCGGAGTTCTGCGCCCTTTGTGGTGCTTTGGAGGACACGAATCATATATTTGTTCATTGTGTTTTGGCCAAGCTAGTCTGGAGTTGTGCTAGATCGTGGCTCCAGGTTTGTATTCCAAAGCAACCAACACCGACACATGATCGCTGGGGCAAACAGCACAATAAGCCTAAAAGAAAAAGAAGAAGAAGTAAATGCCAACAACGGCAGCTCGACAGAGCGCGGATGACCCGCCACCGCTACGCCCACCAGAGACAAACCACTACAACCCGAGGCTCCGGACCACCACGTACAAAACAACACCTCCAAGAAGGAAAGTGACGCCGATGACGCTGCTGCCCGGACATGTCCTAGGGTTTCCCTGGCACGCGGAGGGAGGTGGGGAATGGATATCACCGACACCCTCCAGAAAGGAATGGTGGCACCCGCAGGTGTCACCGCATCGGGGCCGAAGACTGGTAAGGATTTCTTCCATACTCCAATCCCCGCCGCCCAACGGACCATCCAGCCAGACCGCCGCCCACCACCATGCGCCATCGCGGTTGCGCCGTCACCCACGCCGCCTCACTGCGAACACCAACACGAGGCCAAGAGGATCGGAGAGAAGCGCCCCACGGAGGGAGAAGCAGCACCAAAGCCGAACGGGAGGGAACCACCTCCACCGCTGTCGTGCGGGAGGCCAGAGCCTCCGGCACCGTCGCGGTAGCCATCTGGACGCGGCATCAGGGCATGCCAGGCCACCCCTGGCCCGGTCAGGCCCGAAACGGGCCCGCTAAGCCCCGCCGTCACGCTGCAGCAAGCCGGCGATGGCGCCGCCAACACCCTGCCGCTCATCGCCTCTCCCCAGCCTCCCGGAAGCCACGAAGCAGACCCACCCGCCGCTGGCCCGCCCAGGCCCAGATGGGGCCCGAAGGGCCCAGATCTGGGCCGAGCGGGCGCTGCCAGACCGCGCCGCCGCGTCGCCCCGCCGCCAACGGCGACGCCGCCATCCAGAAGTCCGCCCCCGCTCGCACCAGGAGCCCCCGCCGCCCCGCTAGACCGCCGCCGCCTAGAAGCACCGCCCGGGGTCGCGCCGACGAACACCCGAGAGGGGAAAAGCCAGGGGGCCGCCGCCACCAGTGTCGCCCGGGCCAGGCCCGCAGCGGGCGCCGGCGACGGCGGCAGAGAGGAAGGGGGAAGGAGAGGCGCGCGGGGGAGAAGGCTGGGCGCGGCCGGCCGGCCGCGGGGGCGGCGCGGTCGCGGGAGAGGGAGGGGGAGGGAGGGTCCAACTCTTTTTGGTGAGGCCAGTTGAGTTGGGCAGGACTGCTGCCTCTCTGTTTCATCTCTTTACATGGCTAAAGATGCACAACGAATAACAAACACACACCAAACAGTTTTCTGGAGCTACTAAAGCAATTAAAATCTCTATGAGATCTTCATAGCCATGCAGCCCCATATCCTATAGTTCACTGAACTTATAGCTCGAGATCCAGTTCGCGTGCTACACTCTTCAGCAACATTGCTTGCTAAAACACAGAACTTAAATCCATCAGATTATTCATTAAGAAAAAACCAGCAAGCCAAGGTGCAAAAAGCTTCATCATACCATCTCTCGGGAAACAGAAACCACTCCCTAACAGTGCATCTTTTGAGAGATGAATTTAAAGATTGGATCAAAGCTGGGACAGGGCAAACTGTAGAGTTTTTAAAATGGTAATACCGAGTTACTGTTTGCAAATGCTTTTTCAAGTAAATTCTACAACAGGGTACATCAAATTAGAGGTTCATTACAAAGATAATCAATTCACTCGGCCACTAACACGGGAGATTATCAAGCTAACTGACAAAAGCTACCAACAACATGGGAAAACAAGCAAGCACCGCTGCACCAAAAGGGCTACTGAATGATGACATAATTCATCAGGACTTCGCGAGACCCCTGTTGCCTCCAAGTTTGTCACCTATCTTGTTGATGAGTGTAGCCTCGTACATCTTCAACCACACATTCTTAATGCGCCGCGTCACCGGGGGTCACCCTTTCCGCAAACATAGGTTTGTCAGTATGATTCTAGAAGGGGGATTACATGATACTGTATAAATTGCAAATTAAGCATAATTAGTTGTAACCACACGGCACTCAAAGTTTGTTTGCACCCATTTCAAACATAACTTTCAATCCGACTAGGCATTCAATGTTTTGTTTATTCCACTAACTTGTATGGAGTATTATTGAAGAGTTGTTCCCATATCACAAAAGAAAGGACATATAGATACAAACATACCTTGTGAATTGTAGAAACTCATGTATGGGATGAAAGCTTGAAACTTTTCTCTCTCCCACTGTAGTGACTTCAGATTAATCTTGTAGATTCCAAGATCCGTGGTCACGAAAATGATATCGGTGCCTTTCACAGATCCAATCAGCCTAAGTCTTTTCTTTGGATTTCGAATGTGAAGGATGTTGTTGATATTGATGACTGTACGCTGAGTCCATGATGCAACTCCGTCAGAACCCATGTGCCTTGACCACAGATTGAGGATTAACCCAACCACATGTGCAAACCCCAAACTGTCATCCTCCATCGCCATGAGGATAACATCATCAGCAAGCGGCATATCAATCAATGATAAGCAATTAGTGCTCAGGTCGTACTTAAGAATTCCTACTAGGCGATCATCGACGCAGTCACAAAGCTTGAAGTGAAGTGTGTCTTTGGACGAAGACAGGAGGCGCTTCGTGGATGTACACATCGGAGTCAAGTTGAAGGCCGGAGCATGGATTGCTCCAGTTATCAAAATGAGAACGGTATATGCTCAACAAAATGGGGTTGCTGTGGTCACCTGTCACCGGCAAGGTCACCCACGCCTGTGCAACACAATCATGAGCATCAGTCTTGTTCAGAGCGATGAAGACGACCTGGAAGGGCCCTGCGTGGCACGTACTGTGGTCACAGCCGCTCGCAGCGCAGAGCACCGCTGCCCCCATAGCTTTTGTCGTCCACCAGGACGGGCGCATCCAGCTCCCTCTGGCAGCCCGTCATGGGATCCCAAACGGTGAGCGTCATGGGTTTATAGCCCACATCGCCAAGGAGAACACGACCATGGCGGCAGTCCCACGCATCATATTCCCAGTCCCCCAGTCATCGTCGGGAATGCACGGACGAAATTTCGGTAGCGGCCGCGAAAGCGAGCGCCGGAGAGGAGGCCAAGCCAGAACTTGCTGGCAAGGGAGGCGCGCACAAGGTGCTCAGCCTCGTCCGGCGGCAGGCGGAGGAAGATCTCCTCCAGAAGCCGTCGAGGAAGGCCACGACCGAGGCTGCTGCGGATGGCGTGGGGACGACGACGGAGCAGCTACTGCGGAGACCGAAGAGCGATCTGTGCGCCGTCGAGGAAGGCCACGACCATACAACGGACTTGCTTTGGGCGACAACGGTGGTGCGGCGGAGGGGCGAACGGCGGCCAAGGAATAATTGAGGAGGGGCTGTGCAGCCGAGGAAAGGCTGCGCAGGCCACGCTGGAGGAGAACGACGACGCTGCTGCAGTGACGGGCGACGGCCGAAGGGCTTTCAAATACAATATAGTAGCTAGTGGCCGGAGCTTGTGAGCACGATTCAGACTATTGCAGCACGATGGAATTTTAAGTGTTGAACTCACCATCGATACACATATGATCTCAACTAGTACTGCTGCAGATCAGTTTTGGCCCCTTCTCCTTCTGGATTAATCAAAAGCAAAATTTAAGTGTCCACCGGAAGTAATTAAGGAAACCACCAGGAATGCTGAAATGGCAACGGTGACGACGGCCACCACCAATTTTTCACTGTCATCATCTCCCACTCACTCCCTCTTGTTTACCACTTGGCCCAACAGGAGGCGGTCCTGACGGGGCGATGGGTTCCCAACTGATTTGACCGATGCTTCTTCATTTTCCGATGTGATGCAGCCTGGAGCCAATCCCTGAGGTTGGTGGCGCCAGAGTACGCGGGAGCTCCACATCAGGTCCGTGGTTTTTATTGTTACCTTTTTGAAATATTGATTGTTACTTTTTTGAAATATTTGTATCGGTGGCTTTTTCATCAGTCGTTCTAGTCCTATACATTTCTACTCCTATAAAAAACCAAGTTGGCAAAAATGATGTGCCTGTCATCCATCATTTTAGACCATCAAATCTGCATCTGACGGATGAGAGACAACTCCACTTAAATTTGCAAATAGACCCTTATTTTCTACTTCTTGCTCCATCTATTCCCACCTCATCCAACAAGAGGCATTCGATCCTTCTAGAAATGGGGAACAAACAATGGAGCTGAACTGGGAAGGTGGCCACTACCGCTCACACGCCACCAGCGCCGGCCGCTCCGAATGCCTCTCCCGGCTCATCTCTATTGTAGCAGCCCCACCACTCACCACCTCCCCCCTCCTCCCTGTTGTCTCCTCTCCCCCTACCCCGTCTCGTTTGATGCTGACGTCAGCAAGTACGCCGCCGGCACCGTTCGTCCTCCAAGTCCGCGATGCCTCTTTTGCCTCCTTCTTTGATGCAGCAACCTGGTCCTCCGCCCACCACCTCCCCTCCTCCCCCTACCTCATCCCATCAACATTGGCAAGTATGCCCCCGACGTCGTCCGCCCCCGATTCCACAACAAGCCACCACCAAAAGACCAAGCATGAGGGAGGTGTCGCAAATACTTTAGACATTTTATAGTATGAGATGGTAGGTTGCAAAGTGTTTTATCGCTCCTTCAAAGCATTTATTTATGTATCAGTTGGTGTCAGGTTATATAATAAAGAGTTGGGATGATGATCTTTTCCAAAAAAAAAGAGTTGTGATGATACTTTGTTTTGCTTTTTCGTTATCATATTATAGATGTTGATCTTGTGAGAGGTCATGACTACCATGATAAGATCATTCATCTCACCACATTTGTTCCATTAATTTTTTTGGTAGTTCTCTTTGTTATTCCTTCTGTTCAAAACATTTGGATAACGTCTACAGCAGGTCTCTTTTCCATTGATGTTCCTCCTTTGCTTGGTAGCTCCACATCCAATTTTTCAGGTCACACACCAAATATTTTTTTTCCTTCTTGTGTGTTACCGGCATCTTTTTTTGGGCAGAAACCTGGTTGATGTAATAGTTACAAGAGGTCCAGTGCTAATTTTTGCGTATGTATATGTGCACTCGCCCCTTCTATCTACACATAATTTCAAAGAATCTTTTACAATACATTTTGTTTCTTTGCGTGGTACAAAATGTATTGCAAGTGTTGTTCGTTGCTTTTTTTTCCTTTGCCCAAATATACTGCATACCCTCTACAGACTCAGTTTTTTCCTTTATCTCAATATAACACAGACAGTTATGTGCGCAATAGTGATAGTGTGATGCCCTTTTAAGTGAGCAGTTAGATGAAGCAAAAAAAAAAACAGAACCCTATCTGATAAAGGAAAATTTGTGTCTACAATCTTTGTGTACCAGTATCTATGTGCATATGCTTCAGAGTGTATAACATGCTCATTGATTATTTTGTTATTAAACAGTGCTTGCTGGAGATGACAAATCAAGCGCACTAAGAAGGCAAAGCAAAGGCCGAAAATTTGTCTGATTTCTGTGCTTGGGTACGAGCTGGTTTGTAGCAAAGGAAGATACTCTGCCTGTCTACAGTGGTAGATTTTATAGTGACCGAGGTACTCTGTTTGTTTAGATGGAAGATACTCTGCTTTGTGGCAAGGGGAGATACCGTGTTACTTCTGCCCCATTTTTTTGTACATCTAGGCTTAATAACAAGATTACGCTCTTTGTCAAGTCACTTTGTGATGGTGCTCTTCTCGTGTTGAGGCCCTTATGTTTCATGAGACGATTGATTGTAAGTACGCATAAAAAACATTCATGTGCAATCTTTAATTAGTAATACAGACTTGATTATGTGCCACTATTTTGTGCATCAGATCTGGTAAGGCTCTTCTTGTTTTTTTGTTCCCTTTATTTGTTTATTCAGCAAAGGACATATTGATTAAAGTTATTGTTTGGAGAAACTGCGACTAGGTCCTTAAAAAAGTATAAAAGTAAAGAAATGGTGCAAATAACGAAAGAAGATATTTGAATGATGTTGGTTTTGAAATTATCATGATTATGCATCCTCGTTGTTGTAATGCCACAATCAAAGTTCGTTTACTCGTGCTTTTACTTCTATCTTTCATATATGGCCCAATATATACATGTTTGCATTTCATGTTTTCTTCTGGATATGCACAAGTCCTTTCATCTCAATTTTATTACATGGGCATTCTTGTCACACTGAAATTGTCAAAACTGAAATGCTTTCGCCAACAAACCGATCATTTTCATATCCATTTGATTTGTGCTTTGTCTTACTATGAATGATGCGCCTCTCTTTTTTTCTCCGTGGCAATGCACGGGCATTCGACTAGTACATTAACTAAAAGTGGGATGCTTTATTGTGTCCCAAAAAAGATCGATGCATAAAAATGATATCTTCCATTACTCTCATAGTTATGGGGCATGGCGGTTAGCCATTCCATCACATTAATTTGCCTTCAGGATTGAATTGGAGAATACATTATCAGGAGACTTCAATCATGTTTTTTTGAACACAACTTACCACATGCTTTAAGATTTATTTTAAATGAACATGTAAATATTATTACTACAAAATTCTAAATCTTAGAAAACAACATGCAGCGTGCGCCGTGCAAGGCTTCCTAGTATCCTCAATTTCCCGCAGATAACACACATACTATGCAATGGCATCCATCAGAAGCACATTCACCGTAGATCGTGCCCAAGTGGTATGTTTGTTTGCATTGTGTTAGACGTGCATCTTTGAATGGACATGACTTGGAGACAACGTATACATCGCAACCCTGGGGGAAATAGGATCCATCGTCTATACTCTCCTTTGACATAACACCTACGAATTCAACTGTAATTAGAATGTTTCATACACATGTCTGTTAGAAAATAAGAACCATGCCTGCAAAATACCTGAACAAAGCACCAAAAGGACGAGGCCTAGGAGCACCACCTTGGTACACACCATCCTTGATAGAAGAACTTCTGGACCGTAGGAGGAATTGTTTATATTAGTTGTGTTTCGAATGGCAATATTACGTTCTATGTTGTCGATGAATAGATCTGGAGTGATCCTTTATATAGCATCCATGGTGCTTGTTATGTGTGGAATAAATTAATAGCGTATTCTCATTTTTGAGAGATATTAATAACATATTCTAAGTTAGCTATGTTTTTATTCTTTAGAAATTAACTTATCATGTTTGCTAAATATTTTGCTATACAGGCTCAAATTATGACCATTTAATGGGTGTGCTACTATGTATCGCTCATGGGGAGCGGTACAAACGGGTCGTCTATAACGCGTACAATCGGGCTAGAAAATTTGCAAATGTTAACTTATTATAAAATCATGTTCCTCCTTTCAAAATATTAATTGCGATTCAAAATATGTTTGGGATATCAAAGAATGACCATGTTTAAAAAAAAATCACAACTTCAAAAAATTATTGCATTCTAAATATATAGGAATATGAAAAAAAATCACGTTCTCAAAATTTTGTTCAATTTTTTTAAAGAAAATCACGTTTTCAGGAAAATAACTTAAAATGCTAGATTTTGTTTTGCATTTTCAAAAAATGTTCACGTTTTGAGAAAATGTTCATATCTTCTAACAATGTTTTCATTTTGAACAAATGTTTGAAATTTCACAAAATATTCATTTTTA